AATCAAAATCAAGTAGGAGTTTAAACTAAGTAGAAGCAAAACAGTGGTATCTAACAAGTAAGAGTATACAACATGAAAGAAAACCTTGACGAAAACCATGGAAAAACCTTTATACTTAAGAAAATCACAACTTGGTATTCTTTGTAAAATAAGTTTGAAAACCCTTAGAAATTCTTTGGAAACCTTTCATAAACAAGTTTAAAATGAAACTTTGATAAAACAGTATAAGTAAGAGTTTTGAACTAGTGAAAACATTTTAGAAAACCATTTATAGTATCCTACTGGGTAAAACAGTTTATAGTGTGGTAAATCCTTGTGCATGCGGGTTATCAATCACATGTGATTGATATGATAACTGGCATGTTTAACTTGTATTCCCCCCCCCCCCCCTATATAACATGTTAAAAAATTTAAAAGGTTCATTCAGGGGTATGAACTCACCTGATGTAAGTGGATCCGACGAAGGTGCCGGTTGGGTGCTCTGTGTCAAGTAAAGACTTGGACACACTTTGTGACCTATTAACATATGATAACATATGTTTACATCTAATTAGTAAATATAATACCAATTAAACAAGTATACGCATCCTAAAGTGCGGAAAACACTTTGATTGAGTGTTTGGGGTGTCCGGGTAACATTTAAGGGTGCGTATGGCTTGAATAAGGAGTTTACTCTCCTACAACTTGCTTTATATAAGTTCATGGTTGGCATGCCATATTCCCCATGAGTTTACGGCCGTAAACTCATGGGAGGATTGTTTTAGGATAGTTTCAAGTCCCTAGTGCTTCTATAATTGGTTTTAAGTAATTATCCAAGGCTATAGGGGTGTTTAGGGTTCCACGAGTGCACTCCGTTGGAGTTTACGGTCCAAAGGACCACTCCTTGGGAGTTTACGGCCGTAAGCTCTATGGCTTGGCCGTGAACTCTCATACACCCACTATTCATTGATTTTGAAAGCCCTTGGTTCAATTCTAGTACTTTGTAATAAAGGTCTAAGGCCATTTGGGGAATTTAAACTACCATTTGGCATGGTTTGGGAGTGTTTTAGGCCTAAGCATGTGCTTGGGCTGTAAAATCCTTTTTACCCCTCATTTCTATGTGTTTAATTGTTCTAAACCCAAAATAGGAGACCCCTAATTTATGTATTAAGCCTAAGGGTGGTTTGGGAGTGTTTGGAACTTGATTTTACAAGTTTAGAGGGTGTTTACGACCTAAGCATGTGCATGGGCCGTAAACCCTCTTTTATGTCCCAAACATTGTGCTTTTATGGTTCAAACACTCCTAGGCTAAATCCCCAATTAGTTTCCAACCTCAAGGATGAGTTTAAAGGCAAGTTTGGCATCATTTTAGGGGTTTACGGCCCTAGAGTGTTCTTGGGCCATAAATTCCTTACTCCTTGCGTTCTTGGATGATTTTTGAGCTATAATGACATGCAATGGGTTGTAAAACAAGCTAGGGTACAAGAACTTACGATTTGGAGATGGAAACTTGCATATTTGAGACGAAATCGGACTTTTATGAGAGAGAGTATAGAGAGAGTGTGAAAAGGGTGGAATGAAGTCCATCCCCCCTTATATATGGGTTGAAGTTGAAGCTCAGTGGAAATCTACCCAATACTGCCGTTAAACGGGGCTTTCGGTCGCACCCGATTTACTGGTCGTAATAAAATTAACTTTCTCCAAATTAATATGGAAATGTAATTTACATGCTTTTACTTTATTTTATTATGACGAATAACGACATAGAATATAAATATATAAAACATTTATTTATTTTACGATCTCAAATTAACGGAACTTTTATAACACGGAATATTCCGTTAACGGAAACAGGGTAATGTAACGGAATAAAATTTGAGTTGTCACATTTGGGCCATGCGAATGTTGTGAATCCAATCATTAAAGTTGGATACATCAAATGTGTCCCTCCCACAAATGCCCAAGAGAGAAAGTGGGTTCGAGGAGTTGGAGTTGGAGGAGTTCGAGCCTGGCTTCTGAAAAAGAAAAGAGACAAATTTTAGATTAGATAAGAATCCTTAATATAACATCCAAATGAAATATTAAGGCTACGACACAATCTTCGACAATTCGGAAGAGGGATGTTGTAATCCAATTGCAAAATATTCGATCCCTTCTTAGGGATCCACTAGCCTAACCTTGCAACTATTAGATAATTGCAATACCAGTCCCCTTAACTTAACTAGTCTCATTTGATCACCAAATTAATTCCAAAATAATTTCAGATCAAACTAATTAACTTATATGATTTCTCAATTAGTATATTATTCTTATGACATATTAATAAATCACAATTAACCTCTTTTTCCATTATTCATCTAGTCAAGTTGCTATGGTGAAGACAACCCAAAAGGACTATGCTACTATCAGGTCAAGTACATAGCAATTATAGTTATGGGCTTAGACACCTAATCCATCAAATACATTTGTGGTTAACGAAGTTTTGATTATTTTGTTGTTTTTATACAATAAAATGCATCATACTTGTTATTGGTCAAAATTCTATAAAATAGTAATCAAGAAAGTTTTAAGTTGTCAACCATCATACTGTGAAAATTTCATTATGATAGATAATAAAATTTAGAAATGTGTTAACTCATATGGATCTGAAATACTAAAAGACTTAAATCAATAAGTTTTCATAAACATCTATGATTTATAGGTGTTCAACAAACTTACAAAGAAAGGTTTAGGTTTAGGATGCATGCACACAATGTTAGGATCCAACACGCTTAGGATATTCTATATGAGCTATGTTTGTGTCTAAAAGCTTTATGGGTAAGGATCATTTCCTATGCTAAATGGGCTATCTTTGTAACCACTCTAAGACTGCATGTCTTATTCAATGTCGTATGTGTTATAACCGTTAATCTATATGGAATGTGAAACGTCAAGCATAGATCGACGACACTGATCTATACGTGTTGACATCCCGCCCATATGTTGCCAGCTAGAACCATTGCCTGACGAGACAAGTTTGGCGTCTCCATTGTTATTTTATTTACTCCATGAAGTTGATAAAGTGTTGGTGTGGAACTTATTGCATGGCCATGTTAGTGTTGTGGAACTTTTAGCATGCCCATTTTTACTTCTCTTGTAGATGTTTTGCAGTTCGATTATGAGCTCATTATAAATCCTGAATTTATTTCGTTACTGTATAGAATTGATATTGGTTTTATATGGGGTTTTTGTCCACTTATACTAATTGAAAGAGACTGTGTTTAGTGGGATTGTTTTTGACTCAAAACGATAAGTGTCAATACCAGATATTAAGTCACATAAAAATAAATTAATATCATGACACGATTGGACAAGGTTTATTAACTTACACATAATAAGTTATTTATATAAACCCTTTGTTTTTGCACAAAACCACCATGTTTATGTGGAAAGAGTTCACCCCACTGTTTAAGTGTCGGTTTCGAAATTAAGTAAGATAACACTTAATAACTACTAGGACATAACCTTACAAGTTTGATCAACTCAAAATCCATTAATTTTATATGTATACTACAAAATTTCTTGTATGATATTTAAAGATTAAAGTTGGTTATTCTATATTTTCAAAAAAGGTACCATGCCTTATTTTTATATAATTTAGTTTTTAAAAATCTTTATATAAAAATGCATTATGGTCATGAGAGCCATGAAAATTTGATATAAGTTTGATTTACTTATATATTCACCAATTTTGTACTTTCAGATTTGAACAAATAATATTTTTAAATGAATCTAAATACATTTTTACAACTCATTTATTATTATTATTTTTTTATAGAAAAGTGTAGATTTTTTAAAGCTGGTTCACCAGATAAATTTTCGTAAAACACTTTTGCTTATAATAGTATAATATATCAAAACCGGTAGAACTCACCAACCACTTTTGTTGATGTATCTTAATGAATGTATTCTCAAGTTTATTAATAGGTCGAAAGAGTTTTCATAGAAGATTCTTTGTTATTGCAGCATACCTTGGTAAACTCCAAAATGTTAAGCGTGTGTAGCGATTTAGCAATAGTCATTGTCAATGTAATTTCTATTTCGGTAATAAGACAATATTATATTAATATTGTTCAATGTAAATTCAATAATTGTGACAACTGATTTATGTCGTGCACCTTGATGTTTCTGCCAACGGTCGGGGGTGTAACAAATTGGTATCGAAGTTATTGGCAATAACGAAATAGTACTTTCTTTGGAAAGCACGACTATAGCCTAGGGCTTACTCTATTAGGTTGGGTATATTCCTTAACCTACATATATAGGGTTGTACATATATACATATATAAAATCCAACGCCCGAATAGTAATACAACACAATGTTCTAGGTTGTCACACCTTCCCCAGTCACTAGCGGAAGTGTTGAGTGGTGGCGGTACATAGATTTCCCAAATTATAGAGCGCCAACCATAACTACCTATTTAAATGTAGACCTACATATCTTCGAGCTGATAAACTTTTTTTGAATTGATATCTACTCCTTCCTAGGAACACATGAGATTTTTGAAAACATCAACTTGATGTTAGTGAGTTCACTAGTTTGAGTTAAATGTACAATAAGATATTCTGAAAACATTCTATTAATTTTATGATTTTTAAGTACCTGGTTTTGTATGTTTTATTTTATTACCTCTAGAATTATTATCTTTTTAGGACATTCTATTAATCCTAATTTACTATCTTTGTGGGATATCTTACGTTCCTATCTTATTATCTTTTAGTATATTTTATTAATCCCAATTTACTATATTTTAAGGAATTATAACAATCCTATGTTATTATCTTTTAGGATATTTTATTAATCATAAATTATTATCATTGTATGATATCTAATGATCATATCTTGTTATCTTTTATGATATTTTATTAATCCTAATTTACTGTCTTTGTAGCATATCTAACAACCCTATCTTACTACCTTTTAGGATGTTTTATAATCCTAATTCACTATCTTTGTAGGATACTTAACTAATATTAATGTATTATGTGAAGAGATCGAATTCCTCCGGGGAACACATGAAACAAAGATATGAACTGGGTAAATAGAAATGGAAAAGAGATGTTTCCAATTCATCAAAATGAGAAGCTTTTTCTACATCCATATGATCTACTAAAGTAGATCGGTATTGCCCATATAATAAAAGCAGATCTTGGTCCATGGAATCCCAAGAAGGTAAGAACTCCAACCTGTCCGATGCTTCTTCGGCCAAATACGATATACAAGTGGGACCTGCACTATGCGCAAGCTGTGTGAAAACCCGCTTCTTTTTTCCGGTTCTGAAACAACTTGGGCGAAATAGGGTTCTACCGGGAAACTCTTTCATTCTAAGGCGTACATAATGATACTCAGATCTCTAAGGCGGTTGTAATGTATTACCATGAGCCCCCATAATCGACGTTGTTTGACTAGTGATTTCCCCACCACAACTCTTCTTCTAACGTAGAATAGTGATTAATAAGAAAGTTATCATGTCGGGATTGTAGCTAGCAATCATAGTTGGGGGTATTAATCCCTGTATAGATCTATAAATATCTTACTAGCTCTCACATTATTAACGATTATATGTATATGTTTTATTTTGCGATACATATACATACCCTACTTATGGTTAATTTGATAACAGGATATTTGGGCAGAGTAATGATCAGGCATAGTGTAAATCCCTATATTTGACTAGTATCAGTTCTACCTACTAAGTTATCATAGGCATTTAGCTATTATAAAATCTAGGTATTACATCGTCATAGACTATTGGGCAACATAACTCTTAGGTATTATATTATAGCTTACAACTAGGCATGACCTCACTCTACTCGCGTATTCTGAAGCATCCAAGTTATTGCATCCGAGGCTTCATGACATTGGGAGTATTTATAAAAAAATGACAAAAAGATAAAGAGAGATTTTTGGGTGTGAGAAAACAAAAAACTGAGCACCTCTATTTATAGTGGTCATGCATGTGGCGCACTTCATACGTGACACACACTTGATTTGTTGCTCCAGCCAGTGTTTGGCATATGTTAACTTTTGATGGTCCACGTCTCCTAATCTCGATGTATTTGGGTGTTAGACGTATACGCCGAGCATGGCGCACACTTGGCATCCACCAATAAAACTTTTATTAAATATCATATATTCCTTATATGAATCTTGTTTCTTACCCTCTTTATATACTTGTGTAACTCTCTACTAGTATTAGAACTTTCCTTAAGGTTGCGTTGCTAAATTTTAAATATTATTTTTAATCCACAGTTTATATTTTTTTGTAAATCTTATCTCTTTCATACAAACTCTATTTTTGACCATTTTCCTTTCATAGTCCTTATCTCTCGGAGCACTACCATTTTCCTTTTTGTGATGTTAGTTGAAAACAAATTTCTTTATGCCATTTTGACGTTAATGACATTATTTATGCGTTTGATTTTATCTTTTATAAAATCATAACCCATCTGATCGAAGTCAGATTTTTACAACGGTTATGTCCTTGGGATCACGTTGTTGTATGCTCTCCAAATACATTGACCATATTATTAAAAGTGATATAACTATTTGGTCACTCCTTTTTGACCATATTATTATTATTATTATCTAACAAATCATATTTTTCCTTTAATATGAAAATTTATATTATCATCATTGGTTCTTGCTAATCTCTAGTGACAATTGGTGATTAGAAATTCCCAATTGTCATATTTTCCCCTTGTTTAGGAATTTAATCCCGAATTTCGAACCATATGATAATCTCATTAGGGGAGGCAATTTCTTAATTAGAAATCAATTTCTTTTTCTTTTTTATTGGTACAACTAAATTTCCTTTTTATTTTCCTACTTCTAATTCGTCAACTTTATCATTTGAATCTAATCTTTGTCTTTTGAAATCCTATTTGATTTTATCCTTATTTTACACTAACAGGAAACTGAAACCTTTTATCTTTATATTAGTGTGGATTTTTGGAAGGATGTTTATGACTATTGGTCTATCTCTACATGTATTCAAAGTAGATCTTTATATATAATAATGTTGAATATAATGTCAAGGGTTTCCAATTCCCTTGTTCAAATATAATCATTCCTATGAGACATTTTCCTAAACCTCTTTACTTTAACACCCCATATTTCTTTCTATTGGCTTGGTTGATTCTTGCAAACATTGGCAATGTGCCCTGGTCTTCTGTAGTTGTTACACCTAAACTTATGAAATTTTCCATGATGATGAAACCCGCAATTACTACATAATAGGAGTCTTTCTAAGTATCCCCTTGGTGGAGTCAGTGATCTCTCATGAGGCTTCCTTTCGACTATTTCATTCCACAAGGGTCAACTAGAATTTACCTTGATGATTCCTTCCCACCTATTCTTACATTCTTTGTACTTATTCTTACTCCTTCTTGGGTTCTGGGGCATAGGGTCCTTGATATCGAAGGCTAAATATTTAGTTCTCCTAAGCATTCGACTTATGTGATTGAACTTCGACAGTGATATGGGGAGCTAACCCTTGGAGATATGCATTGATTTTTTGGATCCTCGAGTTGACCAAATCATGTCATATGGTGACTAGGCACTTAAATTTTAACGTATAGAAAGTCAATGATGATTCGTTGGTGCTCAGATGATTGAATTAATACGCTGCTTATGCCACGTCTCTTCCAGAACAAAATTCCTTTATCATATTCTTCTTTAACTATTCCTGGGGAGCTACATAGGCTTTGTCTATGCCCTAAGCCTTGACCTAAATACTCAACTAGAGGATAGCTCTTCCATGAATGTACATGTTGCAAACTTAACTCTATGTTCACTAGCACACTTTTTCTCTATCACTTTTGTCCAGTAGATCAAAGTATCTACTCCCCTGTCTCCCTAAAAAGATTTTCATCTACTATAAAGAAAATATTGATAGGTTCTTTCATTTGACTACCTTCCTTATTGCTTCCCTCGTCCTTATTAGATTTGATATTCCTTAATTCATAAGATACATGATGCTAAATCATGTTCTGAATTGTGGTCGGGTCAATCATGGTTAACGTTGCAGGGTTGTTGTCTTGAAACAACAATAAGAAGGTTACTTGTTGTGCCTAATGGGGTTAACAATCTTTTTATTGTATGCAGGGTACTATAGTTTCTTTCTTAGAAACATGTCTCCTTAGTACTTGGTTAAATAGATACTTTGTCGTTTTCCTTGTTGTGACATTCTATTGTTGCTTCCTAGCAACATTTATTATGAGAATCTCTTATTGTTTCATGAAAGTATCTCTTCCTTGCTCTTAATCTTTTAATTAGATTAAACTCCTAAATATTTTTAATATCTAGGGTATCTAAAGGTTTTGGGTATGAAAATTATCAATTTTAAACATCTTGAATGTGTGCGTCGGGAGCACAATGTGCACACCGCACACTTGCACCAGATCAGCATTAAAGTTGATTTTTGGCTTCATATTAAACTTTTACAACATTCCCTTAGTCCCCCTGATTTTTCTTGACTGGGTCTCACTCATATGACACACGCTTCGCGCGCCCGCTTCCAATCTTAAATTCCTTCATCTTCTTCGACTCCTTTACTTCAAGGTAACTTCTATGCTTAATCCTACATCCTAATTTAGGCTAAATTTCGATTTTAATGCTTTTTGAGCTTTTTATCTATTGATGAAATTTTGTTTAGCTTTTGTTCAATAGATTAGTAATTTAGCATCTTATACTACCAATTTTACTTCCTTGACACTCAATTTCAGGTTTATTTCATCCATTGGCCCTCATTTTAAAATTTTGAAATTCAAAAATATTTCTAACTTTTTAGCTATTTCCGTAAAATGGTGATGTTTTTGATGACATGGGTTACTTATTTGTGTTTTGGAAGCATATTCGAACATGCCTATATGGTTTTTGTGTTGAAAATTGGAAGAAACAGTAGGTTACCATGCTTGTTGTTCTTCGTGTTCTTGGAGCATGCCATGAAGATGAGTGTGCGCCACATGCACTCGCACACAATGTGCACCTTACATGTCTAGTCCATATCAACACTTTATACTGGATGTAACTAATCTAGCTTATTCCTAACTATATTTTGTCAACTTCTCTATAGATATGGAAAGACGAGGTCGACAAGCTGCATGTCAGTTACCTCCTAACTGACCTTCGCATCCTTTCGTAGAGTTCCCTGATGATCTTCCTGATGAAAGTTCTCTTTGTTTTTCCCTGACTGATCTTCTCTCTAACAAGATTAGTATTCCCTATGCTTTTTCAAGTCCTTAGCTCATCAAAGAATGGAACCATGTTAGTTACTAAGGCATAGGAAGGAAATTGGGTCATTTATACATGCTTTGGGGTGTTTACGGTTTTGGGAGCTCCCTAAACCATAAACACATATAAATGGGAGATTTGTGTGCCTTTTTATCTGATAAACACATCAAGGAAGGATCTAGACATGTCCCCAAGGCATTGTGAAGGACTAAGGCACCCTTTGGCACCTTTACTTGGTGTTTACGGTTTTGGGGGCTTCAAAAACCGTAAACACCTTGTTCTTGGTGTTCTTGGGACATTTCCTTGATGTAAAGATGTATATCCAACTTTATAAGACTCTAGGATAGAGGTACTTACTATATGGAAGCTTGAAATGAGCTAAAAGTCGAAGAACACTAGTGTGTGTTCTTGGTGTTTTGGAAATCTAATCAAAACATGAAATTTGATGGATTAAAAGATGTATAATCACTAGTTGTTATGATATAACAACAAATCAAGCCAAGAAGTACTTACGGTTTCGAAAAATCAAGTGAAAGACAGGATGGTAGTTGACAGTGTTTGGAGTTTGCTCTTGAGGTTGCAAGTAAGAAGTGTGGTAATTTGGGGAGTAAACTCATGCTTAAGGCATGAGTTTACGGTTTTTGGAATAATTTTCGGCCCAAACATAAAAGTTTGGCCGTCAATTCTTTAACTACATGGTACTTGCGGTTTTGCAATTTCAAGACTCGAGACGACACTTCCTTTCACCCGTTCGTTTAAAGATTACTTATTAAAATAATCAAACGAACTTTAAATTTGCTAAAAAAAATAAAAATGATCTTGACTTATAATTTGGAATGATTGACCTTAGGGTTTGACCAAATGAAAATTTCGGGTTGTCACAGATTGAATATTTGATTGCTTTAAATTATTGTTCTATTTTGTTATTGAATATGAAGCTGCATGAATTTGAATACCTAATAATTCAATGAACACTAGTTTATTAGAGATAAGATCAAACCAATCTTAGATAAGTAATTAAACTATTTAATTAAGCTGTGCTAGAGAACTTATATTATAACTATAAGTGTGTTTTCCCAATCAATCTTA